AGGCTGGGCTGTTTGAGAAGTGTGGCTTCAGGATTGGAGGAAGATTCATCAACAATCTGCATTAGGCAGATGACACAACCCTGCTTGCTGAAACTGAGGAGGACTTGAAGCGCTCGCTGCAGAAGGTCAAGAACTGCAGCCTTCAGTACGGATTGAGGCTCATTATCAAGAAGACAAAGATTCTCACCACTGGGCAAATTGGCATTGTCAGGATGGATGGTGAAGAGATTGAGATTGTTCACAGCTTTAGTTTGCTTGGCTTCACAGTCAACACTCTTGGCACCTCTCCAAAGTACTGAACACTAATGGTGTCACTCTGGAGACTAAGGTGTGCCTGATACATGCCATGGTCTTTGCAATCAGTTGCTATGCGTCAGAGAGCTGGACAATGACTAGAGAGGAGAGAGAATTGATGCCTTTGAGTGGTGGTATTGGAGGATTCTGAAGCTTCATCTGATATACTTTGGACATGTTGCAAAAAGGGACTAGTCTTTGGAGAAGGACATCATGCTTGGGAGGGTGGAGGGACAGCATAGGAGAGGAAGACCCTCTATGAGGTTTATTGATTTAATAACTGGGGTAATGGGGATAGGTGTGTTGCAGACAGATTGGCACAGGATAGAGCAGGGTTTAGAGCTGTTATACATAGGGTGGCTATGAGTCGCAGGCGACTCGCCAGCACATAACAACAACAACAACAACAGTCAAGGCTGGGTAGGACACTACTAGGTCCACTTAAGGGAGCGAGTTCCAGAATCAAGCTCGTGTACTCAGTGGATGGTCTTAGCACAGCTTTTTCCATGTGACAATGAGGGGCAATACAATTTTGTCCTAGCTGCCCTTTTGCCCGTCAAGACCGACTTCAGAACAAGGCTTCCGTGTCTCTATTGGTGATGTTGGGTACATTGAGCTTAGTGAAACAAAAACCACTCCAGAGATAGTTAAGAAGAGAGGAGCCACTCAGTGAGAAAAGTCAGCTTACGTGTGCCTTCTCTGCATGCTAAATTAATACTGAGTACCCGAAGGGAAGGGAACACGGGTAGCCTTGTGGTAAGAACCTGTGTTACAATCCCAAAGGCACATGGTTCGAATCCACCAGCTGCTCTGCAGGAGACGTCTCCTGCTGTGTAATTACTGCCTCTGAAAACCTGCTAGAGGGTCAGCTATGAATTGGTTTCCACTCGATGGTGTACAACAACAACTGAGATGGGAAGGCACCTTGTCTGCAACAAACACTTAGCACTGTTATTAACTGAGAAGGTGGTGGTTCTAATCTACCCAGAGACATCTTGGAAAAAAGGGCTGGGTATCTACTTATAAAAATTATCAGCCATTGAAAATCCTGTGTAGGACCGTTCTGCTCTGAGTACACATGGGGTTGCCATGAGTTGGAAGTGATTCCGTGGCAAGTGGTTTACCTTGGAAGGTGGGTGATGGCTGGTAGGGATTTTGATTTTTCACTCTAGACTTGTTTGTGTGGCTTGAAATATTTTCAGTGCATGTATAACATTTTGTCAAAGCCCCAGTCCAGAAAAATATCCTGTCGACTGGTGATTTTAATGAAATGATTAAATGTGCTATTGTACTGGCATAGTTTATTATTGGGGGGGAAACACACACCTACAGAAACTATTTTTAATACTACTTCCAGTGAAGTCTGGTTTAAATGACCTGGTAGAAAAAAAAAAGCTTCTTCTTTTATTTGCTGGTATTTATGTGCAGGGTAATGGTGATGGGCCTTAATGGTTGTTCATGATATTTTTAAGTGCCTTTTACCCTTTAAAATGTGCATACATTTTCTCTTTAGAGCCAGGAAAGTGCAAAGCCGATAAAACAGCCTCTAAATTCAAAGGGACATATAAATGGCTATTAACCAACCCTACTGAGATAGCCCAAACTAGATGCATAAAAAATGAGGATGGAAATGCTACCAGAATCTGGTATGTACCAGCCAAGTTTTAATTGCTAGTTCAGATAGACAAAGATCCACCTAATTGTGGGCATGTTTCAGTGTCATCTGTCGGAGCATGCTCTCTCCTTCCATCTCAATGCCAGCCTTCACCTTCCCTTCCTTATTACCTCCCCTCCCTCTTCCCCCTCTTCTCTCATCTTCCCCTTTTCCCTTTTTCTCACCTTTTGCATCTATTTAAATTTACACATGAAGCATCATAACATCCCAGAAAAAAATGTCAAGGGAAAAAAAAATAAAGAGTTAAAAAGTGCTCATAATGCCATCATGAGACCACAGCTATTTTTAGGTTGACATATTTTGACATCTAGCCTTTCTCTGTCTGCCTTTAAGTTTTTTTGTCATAGTAATAACAGCCTTCATATCAATAATGCACTTTACCTTTTCGCTCAGTGGTCTGTTCAACATCTTCCATGTTTTTTACATTCATCTTCTTAATGACCATTTGGAAAAACTGTCTCAGAAGCAATCTTGTTGATGGGGCATAATAACTCACTAAGTCACTCTTCTATATTGACTTTATTTTATTTTTTTAAAATGCCTAGCCCCTCTTTTCTTACTCTCTGTTATTAATGTCTTCTGCTATTAACTTAAGTGGGCAAGACCAGAGGAGCAGCAGATTTTGACAGAGGCTTAAAAGTTCTTATTTGGGAAAAGAAATCTTAAGCTATAATCCTATCTTGTCCAACTTGCAGCTAATCAATCAGCAGGACAAACAACTTTGAAAAAAAATGTTGTACATACACACATGAACATTTGCCACTTCAACCATTTTTACATGTGCAATTCAGTGGCATTAATTGTGTTTATACAATACAACCATACAACTGTCATCGTTGTTTCCAAATTTATCCTTTGTCACCCTTAACAGAAGCACAGTGTCCCCAGGCAGTGACTTTTCCGTGTCCCTTCCCTCCCATCCCTGGTAACCACACATAAACTTTGGTCTCTATGCATTTGCCTATTCTAGACATTTCACATAAGTGGCATCATACAGTGCTTGTCCTTTTGTGTGTGGGCATGCAGCTTTTACTGTCACAGTCAGAGCTCACATCTACTTTCACTGCCAGATGTGACTTCTACCTCCCTGCCACTATCTTGGTTCAAACCTTTATCTCCTGCCTGCCATTAGAGCAGCCTCCTGCCTTCTAATGGTCCACTATCCCCCCAAAAATATTTCACAGTGTGTCCAGAGTGAATTTCTAAAAGTATCACTGTAATCTTAACACTTTTCTGCTCAGGTTCCACACAGGCTCAATAATTAAGTCCAAACTCCTAAATAAGTAGAACACTCAAGATCCATAAACTTCATTTCCCATCATCTTACCCAGTAGTCTTCCTTTCTTACCATGCACCCCAGCCAGAAATGACCAGTTGGCTTTCTGGAGCCAGTTGGTACCTTCTTGAATCTCTCCCCCTGCTTTTGCTGTGTATTCTGTGTGGAGGGGCTCTGTCCTTTCAAAGCCCAACTCAGTTTAAACATAGAAAATAAGTTCCCATCCTTAGTGGTTTGAAAGATTCACCTTTGTTTATAACAGCTTTTCATATATATTTGGCCTGATTTTAGAACAATTACATTTAGAGTCTCAAATAAGCTCCTCCGGGATCATAACCTTGCCCTGTTTGTCTGTGATACCTACTTAATTCCTAGAATATTGTGGGTGTTCAATCAAAGCGGAGGTGTGGTGGTGGTATAATGTTTAGTCAGAATGATCTCATAGCTCACCTTCCAGCAGATTTTCAGAGGCAGTAAATCTCACAAGAGGAGATTGTCTATCCTTTTCCCATAGAGCAGCTGCTGGATTCGAACCACATACCTTTGGAATTACATCACAGTTTTTTACCAGTAGGTAACTAGAGCAGAACTGAAATGAGCTGAGTTGAATGATTTAAAGCCGAGAGTAGATGATGAGGGCCAATGACTACAGAGTGTTCTACACTAATTATCTTGAGTAACTTAATATGCTAAAGAGAGAGATACTACATCCCAATAGGGATTTCCCCTTAAAATAAGAGTAGGAAGGAAAAATGCGAGTAAGAAGCATGTCCAAAGGGGGAAAAGTTTCTGTCTTGCCTCTTGGCCAGCTGGATTTTACTATTTCTTATCCTAGACTCTTTCTCTTGTCTCTCCAAACCATCAAAAGAATCATGGTAGCCCTAGATTGATTTGCTCTCCAAGAACAAAGTTTTCATCACCTTCCAAGGGAATACTACCTTTAGTCTGTTTTACATCAGCCAGGAGAGAAAGGTGGGTTTAAAGGAAAGTCTGACAAAGATATACCTGTCCCTTTAATATCTACTTTAAGACTAGCCTTGTACCATCATCCAATGAGAAAACTGGATAATGCTTTTTATTTTCCTCTCCCCTCTTTTTCAGTTCAATCAATATCAACACTGGCAAATCTCAGTGGGAAAAACCAAAGTTTAAGCAATGCAAGTTGCTTCAAGACCTTCCTGATAAGATTGTAGATCTTGCTAATATTACTATAAATGATGGTAAGACAGTTCTGTTGGTTTCTTTGCTTACTTAACCTGAGATCATTGGGAGTACAGGCTATCTGCAAAAATCCAATAATGAAAATCTAGGGAGTTAACATTGATGGAGTTGGTGCAGAGTGGAGTATGAGACTATACAAAACTAGCAATGTTTTCACGTATATATTTTTATGGAATAATTTTTTTGCTTATTAGTATTTATTATTTTAAGTAAAAATTGTAATAGTAATAAATACAGACATTTTCAGATATTGCTAGTGGAAGTATAAATTGATAAAATTATTACAGAGAAAATTCCAACACTATCAGTACTTTTGACCCAGCTATTCCATTTTTAGGAATGCATGTTTCAGATATATCTCTCATGCAGAAAAGGATATATGTATGATATCCATCACAGTAGTATTTTTAAAACAAAACATTAACAGCCTAAATGTCCATACATAGGAAACTGGCTAAATTTATTAAAGAGTGTCATATCCATACCATGAAGTGAAAAGGGAAGTTCTTTATGTATTGTTAAGAGGAAAAAGTATATTATGCTACAGTTTATGCACAAGAATGAAAAGAGGATGTATATTTTTGTTCTACATAAAAGAGTAGGTGCATAAAATGCTTCTCTGGAAGATTAACTGAATGGCTGGGAGCAACTGTGGAAGGAAAGTGCTTCACTGTATATACAGATATGTTTTATGTGAAGTATATATTACTGATAAATATTCAGTGCTCTTCTCCAACACCAGACCTCAAAAGCATCAAGTTTTCTGTAATCCTTATTCACTGTTCAGCTCTCAGATGCATAGCAAATGATTGTGAATACCATGGCCTGAATCAGGTCTTAAAACTGAAATCTTTGCTCCTCAGTAATTTGAAGATGTCCATAACACCAGACTTAATTCAATGCAATATCTCTTTTGATTCCTGGATTACTGGTACTTAGGGTGTTCTAAGGGTGGTGTTTGTGGCTTCAAGTAAGATGAAATTATTGACAATTTCAATCTTTTCACCGTCTATGTCAAGATGTTGCTTATAAGTCCAGTGGTGAAGAATTTTTCTCTTCTTGATGTTAAGATGCAATGCATATTGAAGGCTGTAGTCTGACCTTTTCCAGCAAGTGTTTCAAGTTTTCCTTACTAGCAAGATTGAATCATCTGCATAATGTAGGTTGTTGATGAGTATTCCCCCAATATTTTTTAATATTTTATATTGGTTTGCATACAGAAATCTTATACATTGTGCTTTTTTATATATATTGTGCTTCATACATTCCTTCATTTACATCGTGTTTCTTATAGTCTTTAACATATATTGTGTTTTATAAAATTAATCATCATTGATCTATGCCTATTATCCCATCATTTCAGGTCCCCATTGGGTTGTTTCTAATTTTTTAATCCCCCCTCAACACCAAACTCTGTTATCCCAGTGATTTTCCTCCTTCCCCCCACCCCTTTGCTCTCTTCTCCATCCCCTTTTGGACTTTTATATACATCTTATTAGTTATCCTATTTTTACAGTAATGAATGGTCTTTATGCTGCATTTGTCTTTATGAAACTGAGTTAGTTCACTCAACATAATACTTGTTGCTTCTGAGTGCTGCATACTATTCCATCATATGAATGTTCTACAATTTCTTAATCCATTTGTTTATTGATAGACATTTGGATTGTTTCCATTTTCATGCTATTGTGAATAATGCTACTATGAGCATAGGTATGCAAATCTGTTTGTGTCTCAGTTCTCTTTTCCTTATGGTATATTTCTAGCAGTGGAACAGGTGAGTCATAAGAAATTTCTATTTTCAGCTTTTTGAGGAAATTCTAAATTGCCTTCCAGAGTGGTTGTACCATTTTACAATTCTATCAGCCACTACATGAGAGTTCCAATCTCTCCACATCCTCTGCAACATGTATTGCTTGTTGTCCCATTAAACTTTGCTACTGCTACTGGGGTGAGATGTTATCTCATTGTGGTTTTGATTTACATCTCTCTTCTTGCCAGTGATTTTGAGCATTTCTCCATGTGTCTGTCGGCTATCCAAATTTCTTCCTTTGTGAAAAGTTTTTCCATTTCTTTTACTCATCTTGTGATTAGTTAATCAATCATACTCCAGTTCTTTGCACATTTCATTATGATACTTTGCGTTTCCTTCCCACGCTACCCTTTGAAATCTTCTATTCAGCTTCTTATCTTCTTGATTTCTTTATTTGGCTTCTCATTGCTCTAGTGCAACATTCAGTCTCTTCTAACATCCATTTTGGCCTCCTCCTCCTCTTCCTCCTCCTCCTCCTCCTCCTTCCTTTGTAATGACCCTCTGCATTCTTCATGTATGATACTCTTGATGTCCTCCAACAGCTCATCTGGTCTTCATTCATTAGTTTTCAAGGCCTCAAACCTGTTGCTGAGGTGGTTTTTAAATTCAAGTGGGATAGACTCAAGGTCAAATTTTTATTCCTGTGGTTCTGATTTGACCTTCTTTAGCTTTAATTTGAACTTGCACATGAGTAGTTGATGGTCTGTTCCACAATCAACACCTGGCTTAGTTTTCATTGCTGATATTGAACTTCTCCAATGATTCATTCCACAGATGTAATCAATCTGATTCCTGTACATTCCATCAGGCTGCAGAGGAGAAAACAAGAGAATGACAAAGAGAACCTAAACTTGGAAAATTATAGGGAACAGCAACCTCCAGATGCCCCTTGTCACATCACAGGGGAGGCTCCTCCTCAGGCTTCCTTTAGTGACTTCTACAATGAGGATTAAAAAAGATGCTTTGGAGGAGATTGTCTCTTTGAGGTACAGGGACACATCCATGGTGAGGAGAGAGGGGAGCAGTTTTCTCCCCAGGAAAGAGTTTCTGGGAAACAGGTCAGCATTTGCTTGATCCTCATGCAAGAGACCCATCTCTCCTATGGCTTGAGCAGAAGCAAGAGGCCACTCAGAAGGACCAGCTGAGACCTCTCATTAACCCAGAAGCTCCCCACCTGCAGAGAATGTAGGAAAACCTTCTACAGGAATTCTCAGCTTGTGTTTCATCAGCAAACTCACATTGGAGAGACATAATTTTCAGTGCCCCACCTGCAAGAAAGCCTTTCTGCGGAGTTCAGACTTTGTAAAGCCTCAAAGAATCCACACAGGAGAGAAGCCTTGCAAGTGTGATCAGTGTGGGAAAAGCTTCAGTGATTTCTCTGGATTATACCACCATGAGAAAATCCACACAGAGAGAAATCCTATAAATGTCACCTCTGTGAAAAGAGTTTCATTCAGAGGTCAGACTTTAATAACATCAGCAGGTCCACACAGGAGAGAAACCCTATAAATTCTCTCACCGTGGAAAAACTTTCAACTGGAGCTCGAGCCTTGATAAACATCAAAGATCCCATCTGGGGAGGAAGTCCTCTCAATAACCAAACTCTTATAGTTCCTTTCTGGATCTCAGTCCAGTGACAATGAATTTTTGGAATCACCTGTAGAATTCCATCTACCTATTTTCATGGATTGGAGAAAGGTGAACCTACAGTTGGCTTTGAACTTGGAGGCCAGATTGGGCTCCTGGGTTGAATTTCACACCAGCTTCATGTCTTGCTCCTGTCTCAGGGGAAAGAATTCTCTTCTTCCTTCAGCTCATCACCATGTTCAGAGTCTTCTGTTGAGCCCTTTGGGGTCAGGGAAGTATCATTTGGAGACTGAGCTTTGGAAGTGTCATCTGGAAAGAGCATAGCAGAGCAACTGTAATTACTATTCATGGTAATAACATCAGGTCAGCTCTTTATAGCAAGGATTCCAGAGCTTGTCTTTCTGGTACAGAAGAACAAACAGATATAGAATAACAGGGAGCTCATGTGTATTCTTTGACATGGATAAAAAGTGAACTTAAAGTGTCCTTTGTTCAAATAAACTCAGTAGAGTCACTAAAAAAAACCCTGTCGACCAATTCAATCTTTCCTCTATTATGATGGTGACTATTGGTCCAGTTAAGGAATAGTGATCTCAGTTTAAAGGCTATGGTCCATCTGATTCATGCCATGGCCTTTTCAATTAGTTGCTATTCATCTGAAAGTTGGACTGTGACTAAGGATAACAGAAGAAGAATCAATGCCTTTGAATCTGAGTTGTGTTGTTGGAAAAGATTATTGAATTTCCCATGGATTTCCAAGAGAACAAAAAAATATGTCATGGAGAAAGTGAAACCACTTGGAGGAAAGGATGGTGAAGCTTTGTGTCACATATTTTGGGCATATTTTTGGGAGAGGCTGGTCCTTGGAGAAGGATACCGTGCTTGGAAAGGTGAATGGTCAGTGAAGAAGACTAAGATCCTCAAGGGGATAGATTAACAACACAGTCGAGTATATCAGAGATGATGAAGATGGCACATGATAGGGCAAGGTTCAGATCCATTGCTAATGGGATTACTATGAGTCATAATTGACCCAATGGCACATAACAATAACAATAGTTGGTCTAGTTGAGAATTTTTTTTTTATTTTCTTGATGCTGAGATATAACCCATATTGAAGATCTTTGATCTTTTGCAGTGAGTGCTTCAGGTCTTCTTCACATTTTGCAAGCAAGATTGTGTGTCATCTGCATAATGTATGTTGTTGAAGAATCTCCCTTCAATCCTGATACCACATTCTTCTTCAATCAGTTTGATTCATTTATACATGTTGATTCTTTGAGGTTTAAAAAACAATATTTTTAAAAATTGTGATTTTAATGAAAAT